TCACCTCATTGTGTACCTTATATAAATAGACTTACACAGGAACAGGTGTTTGCGTAAGAGGAATAAAATGTCTCGTATCAGAGCACCTGGGCACAGATGCCAGTTCTGCTCCAGGTTGCAGCTTCCTGCTTACACATACCCTAAGAGCTAACAGATTCATGTAACTGAATTCCTGCTGCCAATAAGGGAGGACTGGAGTAAGTTCCAAGCTCCTGATTTTGATCTGCAGCTGAAGCTGTTGTAAGCATTTGAGGAGTGAACCAGTAGATGCATTATCTCTTCTCTGTCCACAGGTCTGTTTCAGTTTCTCTCTCCTTCAAATAAAAATGAAAATAAGCCAATGGAAATTCTGCAGAAATGGCACCACACAGAACGCTCTTGTATTTGGCTTCCTTCCTTTGTTACTCGGCACCAGTCCTCATCCTGCAAAAAAGTCCATCAGTTGTTCTGGAATGAACCCAGCAGAGGTGATGGAAGGGGGACTGGCTGTGAGAGCAGAAGGTGGGGTTACAATGCATGAGAAACTGCCAGCCAAGCAGGTACTCCAGCCCCCAGCCCACCGGGCCACGGCTGAGCAATGGCTGGTTCTCCATCGAGGGCAGTAATGGGGGAGAGGCAGCATTTGCCCAGTGCTGTGCTCCTCGTATTTCAGAGAGAGTGAAGCCTGGAATTGTTAAACACTCCCAAAAGGACCATCCATCGCTATTTAACTTGTTTCAATTGCAGAATGGAATGGCCTGTTTTCTTGGCAGTTCTTATTCTTCCCCTCTCAGCGCTGGCCCTCCGAGTCTCCAGTACACAGGCATGTGGCTTCCTTCCTTCCTCCTTTGCCTCTGTCTCACCACTTCTGGCAGTTACGATTCAGCCCTCCCCTTACCAAAGCTAGAAGGATCCTGAAGACTAAAGTCTAACAGATTCACCCACGCTCCATTGTGCAGACTTTTAATGACTGAAGTACGGCGTACAGACGCTAGCCAACACTAAAGTGATTTTAACATAGATTGACAATTCTGTAACCATGACTTTGGTAAGAAATAAGGCACTTTCAGCACCCGAAAGGTTTGCTTGTGTTTTTGCCAGGTTGATTTCTATACTTCTCCCAACGGTTTTTCCTCTATCATTAAAGATGTTAAACTCCATATAAATGGAATCATACAGGGTATACTGCTCTGTGTCTGGCTATTTTTGCACATCACCATGGTTTTCAGATTTATCCATAGTGATGCACACATCAATATTTGGTATTTTATTTTTAAGATCTATTTATTTTTCAACAGGCAGAATGAGTGAGAGAAAGGAGGGGAAAGGAACGAGATGCCTTGCACCTGTTGGTCAGCTCCCTGAATGCCCACAACAGCCAAGACTAGACCAGGCCAAAGCCAGAGCCAGGAACTTGGTTCAGATATTCCACGTGGTGGCAGGAACCCAATTATATGAGTCATCATCTGAAGCCTTTCCAGGCATGTTAGCAGGCTCAGAAGTCTAGTGGTGGGCCCAGCGCAGTAGCCTAGTGGCTAGAGTTCTCACCTTGCATGCGCTGGTATCCCATATGGGTGCTGGTTCATATCCCGGCAAGCCCCACTTCCCATCCAGCTCCCTGCTTGTGGCCTGGGAAAGCAGTCGAGGACGGCCTAAAGCCTTGGGACCCTGCACCTGCGTGGGAGACCAGAAAGAGACTCCTGGCTTCTGGCTTTGGATCAGCTAAGCTCTGGCTATTGCAGCTATTTGGGCAGTGAACCAGCAGACAGAAGATCTTTCTCCCATTTCTCCTTCTCTCTACATCTGACTTTGCAATAAAAATAAATAAATCTTTACCAAAAAAAAAAAAAAATAGTAGTATTCAGCATTAAAATTGTTGCTCTATCATGAGTAGTAGCTTTATCTGCTTTATAATGCCTGCCTAGTCATTTGTTATTTTTGCTGCAAAATGTGTTATCATTTACTTATCAGTCTTGTTCAAGGACAGTTGGTTTTTATCCAGTTTCGGCTACCCTAAAAGATTTTTCTTTCTCTTTTTCTTTTTTAAATTCTGCTACATGGGCATTCAGCGTGGGTATCAATTTGTTTATTTTTTTTTAAAGATTTATTTTTATTATTTTTTCATTGGAAAGGCGGATATACAGAGAGGAGAGGCAGAGAGGAAGATCTTCCGTCCGATGATTCACTCCCCAAGTGAGCGCAACGGGCCGATACTATGCCGATCCGAAGCCAGGAGCCTCTTCCGGGTCTCCCACGCGGGTGCAGGTTCCCAAAGCTTTGGGCCGTCCTCGACTGCTTTCCCAGGCCACAGGCAGGGAGCTGGAAGGGAAGCGGGGCTGCCGGGATTAGAACCGGCGCCCATATGGGATCCCGGGCGTGCAAGGCGAGGACCTTTAACCACTTGCGCCACCGCGCCGGGCCCCTGGGTATCAATTTGTATCCAGGCTGTTCCACTTCTGATTCAGCTCCAGCGGAGGGTGGTACAACTGCTGGAGCCCCTGCAACCACATGGGAGACGTGGAAGAAGCTCCTAACTCCTGGCATTAGCCTTGTCCAGACATGGGCACTGTGGCCATTTGAGGAGTGAATCAGCAAGCAGACAACCTTTCTCTCTCTCTCTCTCTCTGTAATTCTGCCTTTAAAATACATAATAATAAAGAATTGCTAACATGGGCCTGGCACAGTGGCCTAGCCGTTAAAGTCCTTGCCTTGAACATGCCAGGATCTCATATGGGGTATAGTTCTAATCCTGGCAGTTCCACTTCCCATCCAGCTCCCCACTTGTGGCCTGGGAAAGCAGTCGAAGACGGCCCAAAGCCTTGGGATCCTGCACCTGCGGGGATTGGAGGGAGACCTGGAAGTTCCTGGTTCCCGGCCATTGCACTCACTTGGGGAGTGAATCATCAGACAGATCTTCCTCTGTCTCTTCTCCTCTCTGTATATCTGACTTTCCAATAAAAATAAATAAATCCTTTTAAAAAGTTTAAAAAAATAGAATTGCTAACATGATCTACTCTGTGAGGACATTTGGGCTGTATTCAGTTTGGACCACTGTGAACGTTTGCTTAGGCTGCTGTGACAGCTCCACAGAAGAGCAGCTTAGAATTCAGAAGCGCATTCTTTTGCAGTCCTGAAGGTTAGAAGCCCAGATTCAGGGTGTTGACAGGGATGATTTCTCTTGAGCACTCCTCTTGTTGGTTTGCTGATAGCCATCTCTTCCCTGTGTCTGTGGCCTTTCCTGTGTGTACAGGTCCTAATCTCTTTTTATAAGGAGACTGACCAGTTCAAATAAGGGTCCACCTCAACGGCCTCATTTGACCTTAATTGTTTCTTTCAAAACTTATTTATTTGAGAGTTAGATAAATAGAGCTCCCATCTACTGGCTTCCTCCCCAAATGCCCACAATGGTTGGGGCTGGGCCAGTTTGAGTACCATTCTGAGTTCCCACTTGAGTTGCAGGCATCCAACTACTTCAGCCATCACCTGTTAGCTCCCAGGGTCTGTATTAGCAGGAGTCTGAATGCAGGAGCTGGAGTTGGGGACTGAACCCTGCCACTCCGACACAGGATGCAGGCTTGCCAAGCAACCTTGTTACAACCTTGCCAAACATCTGCCCCTTCTCTTATCTCGAGATGGGCTGATTTGGCAGGTACAAGACCCATGGATAGTCCTGCAGATTGCAGGAAATGGTGGGCAAGGTATCCACAGAACTATTGTTCTGAATGGCAGAAGGACAGACAGAAGTGCCCTCCCTGGGGTCAATCACACAGAAGCCAGGGAAGTATGGAGGCAAAGAGAACAGGATGCTGGGAGGTGAAAGGAGCTCCTAGGAGGGGAGGAGGCAGGAAGCGATGGCCTGGGCAATTGCAGCTTGGTGGGTAAAGGTGAAGGAAGGCAGGAGATGGGGTCGAGAGAACTGGGGCACAGGCCACACCAGGCTGCATGTCATGGAGAGATTCGTGATTTCATTGTAAAGGCAACAGGAACCCACTGGAGGGTTTCAGGAGACTGACAATAAGAAGATTGTGGGGGAAGAAACAGCTGAGCTCTTCAAGAGTTGGAGATCCTTGCCTAGGTGAGACGTGTCGATGACAGAGACTCAAGATGGGACAGAAGAGAGACATTCGGGGACAGAAGACACTGACAGGGGCTGGATGGGCTTGTTAGCAAGAGGGGGTGAGTCAGGGTGCTTTTTGATTCCGAGCTTCTTAGCTGCAGATGTGGCAAGGATCTTTGGGTTCTGATCATTAACCCCTTGCTGTGCGCCTCTCCTATTAGATATATGGGCAAAGACCTTCAAACATTTCACAGTGTACAGAATTTAAAGATGATTGTTTGGTGCAAAAGTTTTGAGATGTGGCATGCAAGCGGTTAGCATAAAGTTCACTGAGGAGCAGGCAAGTGGTGGTTAAGCTGCCTGTATCCCCGGATGGGGAGTGCATGGTGGTGTTGCACAGATTAAGCTTTGTCCACACTGTGTGGGGCTGGTTCAGGACCCAGATACTCCCTAAGGTGCCATGGAGCAGGTCATGACGGCTCAAGGGCTTGGGCTCCTGCCAATCACAGGAGAAAAAAAGATGACGTTCCAGCCGCCTGGCTTCATCCGGGCCTAATCTTTACTGCTCTGAGTTGTTTCAATCCTTGGCAATAGGCTGTGTGACCTGGTTCAAATCACTTCATTGTCTGGGCTGCCTCTCGATCCTCAAAGTCCAGAAAAGAAAGCTTACTTTGCTAGTTGACTGAGGTATAATAACTGAAGCATCAGATTGTCCTTACTCTCTGACCTTGCTCTTTCGTCTTCCACTGCTTCCGTTTGCCAGGATCCCGGGACCAAGTCCTTCCCAGACTGGGTCCTGTGGGTTGTCCCAGCCCAGTCTGCTGCTAGAACTACAAGTCCCAGCAAGCACCTGTCCCCGGGCCCCTCTCCCGGCGTGGTGCGCATGCTTTGGCAGACGTGGCACCGGGAACTCGGAGGCGGGGAGCGGCTGGGAAGTGGCCGCGGCGGAGCTAGCGGGCGGGCGCGGGAGCCCGGGTGCAGAGCTGAGCCGGCGGTGGGCAGCGGCGGCGGGGATGGCGCGAGCCGGGCCGGCGTGGCTGCTGCTGCTGCTGGCGACCTGGGTGAGGAGGCTGTGGGGCCAGGGGTCAGGGCCGGGGCTACCACGTGCGCCTCGCGTGCCTCTACGGGCGCTCTTCTCTCGGCTCTCCCCCGGACGTGCGGAGAGCTGCCTAAGGGCACCCGGGCTCGGGTGTGCAAGCCGGGCAGGCGGACACCTGGTGGCCGCGCGGGAGACCAGCGGGGCAGCCCCCGTGCCCTCCTCACCGCGCGCTCTCCTCTCCGGCGCAGGCGGGCACCGGCAGCCGCCTTGGGGACGCTGGACGATCCCTGGCCAGAGTGGGTGCGCCATCGGCACAACTTTGCGGGGGGCACACATAGGGGGCCGCCACAGGCTGGAGCCGGACGCCCCGCCGCCTGGGAGGAGTGCCCTGCCCCAGTCTCGGGAGCTTGCACCTGTGTGAGTGCAGGCTGGGATGGGGGTGCTTGTCACCTGCGCTGCCGAAAACCCTGTTTTCCTCCCGGGCCACCTCGTTCTTGGTTTCGACCCTAGGCGGCTGGGAAGCAGCAGGGCACCACCTGGGCCTGGGCCCCCGCAGGCCAGGCTGGCCCGGTGGACTTGGAGGGTTTGGAGGGCTGGGTGGGGTCATCGCCGCCCGCCCTCGCCGGGGAGTTCTACACCACGCCTGTGAGGCAGGCTCTGGCCCAGTCCGTTTGTATCTGCTAGTGGTGCCGGATCATTTCCTATATCTAGATGACTTAGTTCCCCTCCTTCCTGAAATGGGGCGCATAAAGGCACCCCCTGTCCCGGCGCCAGGTTTTCCCCAGGATCGGGTAAGAAATGGAAGGAGGAAGCCTGCAAACCTGGAGTGGGAGTGGCCTGTGTGTGTGTGTATGTGTTGGGGGATTCCAGGGTAGTCCTGGGACACAGAAGTCAGAAGGGCTGTGGGGTTGGGGTCAGGCCCCTAGGCCCTCCTGGCTCCAGTCCACATCCTTTCCAAAACTTCTGCTCTGGTATGTTTTAGAATTTCCACCTCCAATTTTAATTTTTTTTTTTCCTTTGAAGGTTCAGGGAAATTTCTGCTCTAGGAATCCTCAGTACCCCCAGATTTTTCAGTGCTTTCCATTGGGGTATGAGGAGTTGGCTGGGCCAATGGGAGAAGAGAAAGTGTGCATAGAGATGCTCCCACATCCCCTGTCCTTTGGGGCAAGAATGGATGTGTGGAGGTGAGTGGTGGAGTCGGGAAGCTCCCTGTTTCCCTGCATCCTCCACACTCTCCCGCTCCACCCCTGCCCTGGGAGAGAGCCAGCTGGAGGGGGCAGTGGCTCCCTTGTGTCTGGCCTTGGCGCCAGTGGGTAGGGGCAGGTCTCCAGGTCAGGCAGGATAGTTACAGGGGAGGGGCTGTGTCCTATGCACCCTCCTCCCACGCACCACAGTGGGATTTTGCACTTGGGCAGTTTTTGAGATCCATCCTATCCCCCCTTTGCCTTCTAGCCTGTGAGAACAATGGTTTGGGAATCTCCAGTTTAATGTAGGAGTATTTATTTATCTACCCCAGTGTTTGGCAAGGGGTGAGATTTTGGTTGGGGAGCAGAATACACACTGGAGCTGCCCTCTGGGTACCCTAGATAAGGTCCTGGGAGGTAAGGGTGATACATCGGCCACCCTCCCTCCCCACCCCTCCATGGAAGCTATGCGCTGCTTTGGAGGGAGCGTGGGCTGTGGTCTTCCTGAGGTGGTTGGAAGGGCAGTCAGGAGGCGCGGCAGAGCTAGAGTCCTGAGCAAGCTGTCGACATCTTCCGCCTGCCCTGAGTTGGAGTTTGCTTGGCAGGTGTAGAGGAGGGAGGACCTTGCCAGCGGGACTGTGACGATTGGTGTCTGGGCATCAGGTTGGGTCTCTGTAAATAACATATCATGTGCATCTGATAAGGGTGTTCCTGGGTCCCAGGAAATGGGCTGGATTTCTTCTGTTAATGTTTACTGCTGGGCTGGCCCGAGGGATCTAAAGGCTGAGCGTTCTCCTTTATGCATGGGTTCACCTTACGCTGATTCAGTTATGTCTATGGGCAGCAAAAGGGTGAGCATGGCCAGTAAGGATGTGTCCCCGAGTTTTATTACAGTCCATTGTTATAGCTGTTCTTGTTTAAATATTAATTAATACCTTTTCCTGTGTTTAATTTACAAATTAAACTTTGTCATAAATCTGTGTATTTAGCGAAAAAGAAGGTACATATAATGTTAAGTACTAGTTATGATTCTGGTATCCACTGGGGGTCTTTTTAAAGATAGATAATTATTTATTTTAAAAGGAAAAGCTATAGAAGGTGGGGGAAGGGACAGAGAGAAGGAGAGAGAGAAAGAGATCTTCCATCTACTGACTGGGCCAGGCTGAAGCCAGGAGTCTGGAGCTCTATCTGGGTTTCCTGGGGCTGCAGTTACTCAGGCGGTCCCCCTCTGCTTTCTCAGGCATAGTAACAGGAAGCTGGATTGGAAGTGGAGCAGCCAGGACTCCAGCTGTGGCTGAAATATAGGATGCCTTTGTGGCAGGTGTTGGTTTAGTCTACTGTGCCCCATCACAGCCCCTGCCCCTGCCACTGGGGGGGGCAGGTCTTAGAATAAATTTCCTATAGATATGGGTAGGCGGACTCTGATATAACAAGATCTGCCAAGATGTGTGTGCAGGGAGGAAAACCCACCATACTATTTTACAAAAATTTACAATATTTTATTTTACATTATTTTACAATGGACATGGCTTAAATGCTTAGGAATACAGCATGGTTAGAAATAATGTATAGCCCTGTTCACATTATGGGAAGTGACGTTTGTCTTTGTCATTTAGCCGAGGATAACAAATATCCCGTAGACTGAGTGGTTTATAAATAAGATTTACTTCTCAGTTCTGGAGGATGAAAGTCTAAGATGAAGACGCCAGTCCTGGTGGGAGTCGCCTCCGAGGCTGCAACCTGTCCACTCCACCAGATCGTCACACAGTAGAGGAAGGGCTGGAGAGAGCTCTCTTGGGCCATTTTTACTTTTTAAAGGAAGTATTAGACAAAGAACACTGCCGTCATCTGACTCACTCCCCACATGCCACAGGAACCACAATAGCCACAGTAGCCATGGTGGACCTGGTGCCGGAACTTGAAGCCAAGAACTCAGTTAAGGTCTTACCTAACTGCTGGAACCATGATCATCACTTCCGGGATCTCAGCAGGACTCAGGAGCCAGAGCTGGAGCTCCACCCCAGGCCCTGCAGCCTGAAACTCAAGCATGTTACCTGTGTGTCCCCACCTGCGTGCCCTTTGGGTCAAGGGCTCTGACCCAGTTCATGGGTGCTCCACCCTCCTGACTTAATTACCTCCCGGGGGTCCCATTAAGGCTTAGGATTTAAACCTAGGACATTTGGGGAGACACAAATACTCAGTCCATTGCATTGTTTGTAAAAAGTATTTGTTTGCAAGACTGTAGTGGTTGTCATTCAGATGTTTTATGGTGTTTATGAAGAATGTAAGAATGAGGAAGAGACTACTCAAGAATGATGGGGAAAAGCAGAACATAAAGTCATAATCCCAGGGTGGAGAAAGTTATGGGCAGTGCATCAAAATGTTGACAGTGAGTCTTAAAGTGGATATTCTTAGGAAAAACAAACTGTCCTTACTCTTGTCATAGCACAAGAAGGCTGTAAGCTCCCAAGTGTGAGGTTTTCCTATCCCCAGCAAGCAAGCCCTTAGGCAGTGGACACCAGCTCTGGCCCTGTGATTCCATTCAGTTCCTACACGGTTTGCCTGCAGCTAGGCAGATCCATAGGATGGGGACTTCATCCTCCTCCTCATTGCTCCCTGTCCCCAACCCTCATCCCCTTAGGTTACTCCACCTGCACTCCTGGCCAGCTGGCTGCAAGGTAGATTACCACAACTGGTTCCTCTGGTTCTGTGGGTCACCCAGATCCAGGACAACATGAGGATGTGCAAGTTGATTATAAAGGACATTACCAAGGCTTCAGGGCAAGAGATGTGCAGGGACAGGTATGTGGGAGAGTGGGGCCAGAGCTCCCATGCTATCTTGCAGGTGTACTACCCTCCAAGAACCTGTATGGGTTCTCTCCAAACATGGCCCTTGGGATTTTTTGTGGGGATTTCGTGGCAGAGGCCTAATTGGCTGGGGATACCCAGTGAGGATTGTCAATTCAGATTTGCCTCTCTTTTAAAGAGATTTGTTTGCTTATTTATTTGAAAGTCATAGAACCAAGAGCTTCTTTCAGGTCTCCCCCTGTGGATGACAAGAGTCTAAACATACTTGGAACAACTTTTGCTGCCTTCCCAGGCACAATAATAGGGAATCGGATTGGAAGTGCAGTAGCCAGGACTTGAACCAGCACTCTTGTGGGATCCTGGCATTGCAAATGGTAGCTTTACTCACTATGTCACTGCATCAGCCCCTGTTCAGATTTTCTGTGCAGTCTGGGCAGTGTGTTTTCCCCTGAGTGTAGAGCAGGGCCCCTCTGAAATGCAGGTCTCATCAACTGCTGTCAGTCCAAGGAGGCTAGGGAACCCAGGGGGACAACTAGAATTTCTGAGCTCTACTGTGGAGGGTGAGACATTCTACTTTCTGTGACTGCCTTGAGGAGTAGGCGGTGAGCCAGGAACCTGGACACAAAGCAAAACAACCATCATAATGTCACACAGAGCTGTGCAAGACCTCTGCACACTTTGCCTAATGCTTTCCTGCATTTTTCAAAGTTTTGCCGTAAGTACAAAGTTGCCATACAGATTTACCATGCTACGTTAGTTTTGTAGCCCCAGCAGTTAATAACAACTTTTGAAAGATTGCTATGGGGACCCTCAGCTTCCAGAAGAATTCTGGAGTGGAGACAATCCTAGTTGACACCTGGGACTAGGTAGTCCCAGCAGCGTCCAGGCTAGGGGTTCTGCCCTTGATCCCTGCCGCCCAGCACCCTTTCCTCCCTACAGCTGACCCTTCCCTAGGACTGTCCATGCTGATATTGTACACTGCCATTCAATCTGTAGACTGAGAAATATCTAACCCAGAGAGCACTGAAGA